ACTCCTTTGACGACATGGTGAACAGATACACTAATTGCTGTGACCCCTACACAGGGTACACAGACTATGACAATTATGACTCTTATCAGCCCTGGGGGGAGTCTTATCAGCCCTGGGGAGATACGTACCATCCCTGGGGCTCCTCTCCCTGGGGATATGATACCAAGTATGTGTACAGTATGTGGGATTCAGAAGAGGAGGGGGAGATAGAAGGTAAGGGAAATAAGAAGATTTGATAAAATTAACTCGCTTTATTCAGGTTTATCTTGTCTTTACTGAAAACAGTATCTTTTTTATTTTCAGAAAACATATTTTGTGTATCAGATAGACCATTTTAAATAGAGCTTAAAAAGTGGTCTGGCTACTTGACTGCTATAATAATTCTTCATTTCAGCAAGGAGAAATCAAATTCATGTAGACAATTCTGTTTTCATATATAGATAGATAGATATATCTGGTCCTCTGAGCAGGGGGACTAATATGTTGACCTCTCTGGCGTGGGGACTAATATATGTTGACCTCTATGACCACCAATTACTATTACTTTAAAGTGAAAATGTTGTGGACTTTCAAAGTGTTAGTATGGTGCTCCTGACATGATGATAGCTTGGCAAAATTCTAAAAACCCTGTAAAGATCAAAGGCTACTGCTTAGAGGCAGGAACGGACATAACTGGATTCTAATAACTGTACATGAAATACAGCCAATGGTGTTATAAAGTTTTGTACCTGCAGGGTAGTAGTTTCTAAAGGGAATGTCGGGAATATGGGAATATTCACTGAAAATGGTTGTTTGAAGAGTGCTGTTGGTCACATAGCACATTGTAATTCCAACGAGATTAGGGGAAGAGTTTGGCAGTTTTATTTTTGTCTGGTGATAAGTGAATCGACAAAATGTCAAATAAGAAAAGAATGAGACAAAAATGATACATGTGATAAGAAGAAGATTATTAAAAGCATTAATCTTTCAAAATAGAAAAAGAAGATAACATTGTTTAAATTGTTTATTTTCTTATAGTCTTCTTGTCTTAGAAGTTTTTGGTCAAAGCAAGATGCCCACAATATTATGCAGTGATGATGTTTAGCAGACTTGTCAACACTTTTTGTGCCAAAATATCACATTTAAAGTTGGAATTTTTATCTCAACATGAAATTAATGGAATACAAATGCAATCACTTTGCTGTGACTCCATGACGCAAAACTGCTGTATCTCTATGTACTCTATTGTTGATAAAATACATTAGAAATACATCAAAACCACTGATGCAGAAATCATTTTTGCCTGGCCAGGAAGTTAAGATTGGGATTTTTTACCGTTTGGTAAACAAGAAATGGTGACTTAGAAGCACTATAAAAACAGCTCAATTCAATGCAGCATACCAGTCGTGATGTCATTAAATACCTGAATTTCATTCAAGAAATATTTGATTGATTTTACAAGCTCACCTTGTGGCTAGGTTTTAAGGATTATAGTTGTAGACATAAGTCTGGCAGTGGGTCTTTTCTTCCGCAAATGCCTGTGGAATGGGCAAACATTTTGTTACATTTTGGGAGAGATTATTGGTAATTTTCTTTTTACAATATTTTTTCTTAAAGCTGTAATTATTGATTTAAAGGATTAAGGATCTACATGCCAATACTGGCCTTAGGCTGTTGTCTTTATAATTAGATTTTGTTGTGTTATGGCTGAGAAACATGACTCTTAGATTGAACTGGAAATATAGGCATTAAAAGCATGGACATGTGAATTTGAGTATATGTGAAGAATTCAAAAATTCATTCAGTTGATAGCTTTTTCAAGTTCAAATTTATAATGAAGAGAATACAGCCACTTCAGAAAAATGACACTATTGTTAATGATACTGTGAAATAATGATAAGTATTCCTTTTTACCCAAATAATGATTTTATGTAAGTAAACACAGTAGTTACGCTGGACTTGATGCTGAAATAATATTATAAAAAATATCAGCAAGGAAGTCATGGCAAGCTGTCAAAATAAGAACTCATAACTTTTACAGTTGAACCGTTCAGGGCATTCCACACCTGTATGTTACATCCCACAATAAAATTTCCAATTTATTTCAGTCTAATCTAATGAAATTGGCCTCATTTGCATGTGCAAGCCCCCTTGTTTGGGGACACTAGACAAGCATGTGCGATCGTAATCTATAAAATACAAGCTTACGGGTGCAGGTGCCTTAACACAATAGATGTGGTGGAATGTTTGTGTATACATGTCGGTCAATAAAGCCAATGAAGTGGAATATGCCCATGATCCAATAAGCTTTCATTCACTTAATCTGAATTGGTTCTAGCATTCATTGGGGATAGGGAGGAGGGAAAGAAAGTTCTGAAGTAGTAAGTGTGTGTGGGTGTGTACATGTGTATGTGCATGCACATGTTGGTAGTGTTCTCTAGCCTCAGTTGTTTTAATAAGTAGGGTGTTTTAAGCTTCATCAAAGCAATGATCACCTTAGAGTCAGTTAATCCCATAGGTAAATCTCACAAATTACAAGAGCATTGTAGATTTTTTTCCTCTTTTATCATTTTATTTCTACAAATAAATTATATTCTAAAATTGAATGGCCATTGAATCCATCCTATATTGACTGAAGTGTTTAGAGAAAGCCCCAACTCTTTTGTTCGTCAACATTCAATCATCTTGCTTTCAAAAATAAAGAAGAAAAAATGGCCGGACTGTTCTCCGCCATTTCCCCATGCTGCTCCCCTGGAGTCCATTGGTCCTCCTTTCACCAGTCAGCTGGTCGCCTTTGTTGGTGATAGGTCAGGAATAGTTTGAGAAAGAGCTTAGACCTCGGGACGTAATATCATATTCAGCATGAGACTTGACTAGTGCCACAGCTTCGCTACATTTATTTTTGGTGAGGGACAATGATCTGTGTCATGGCTGTCGAAATGTCTGTCCCAGTTTTGAAGAGTAGCTTGGATGTTGCTCATTAGAGAAGGTATTCTGATTTGTTTTGTATTGTTATTATTGATACTAGTAATGTAATGTTGTCAGTGGTTGCTTGTGTGCAAAAAGTTAAAGAGCTGATATCTGAACATGAAGTTATGTACATGAGTGATATTTTACAAGGAACAGGACATTGATTGCTCCGAGTCTAGGCCTGTGTCTGCGAGTTGTAGGTAACAGTAATAAAGGTATGTTGATGAACAATATTTACTGATGACGATGCTATTGTTATCAATATTGATGTCATTTTGGATAGGTGGTGGATTTGCCTCTGATATTGATATATCTTAATTGAATAATGATTTTAATTTAACATAATGTGGCCATTAATTTTACTGTTTAAGCTATAAATTTATCTTGCTTTATAAATAGATATAATATTGGATTCTGACATTGTATGTAAGTCATAACAAGTACTGATTTATTGACATTTGGCAATTCTATGTGTGACATTTCTTCATGGAGCTCAGGTAACTAAAATAACAGTAGGCTTAGTGTGTCATTTATAAGTTACACTATTTTTGGGATAAGTTAATTTACTGCAAGTAAAAGATTTTCAGCAGTTATGAACCTGTGTGATTCTATAGCTACATGAATATGTGGTATTACACTTTAGAAAAAGAATGAAAATTAGAAATGAGATGAGACAGAGTGAGATGAGGGAACAGTTCAATGTGGGTATGAACTTGGCAAGGGAGAAAACAAACAAAGAAATTACAGAAAAAAAATATTATTACAGATAACCATACTTTACATAAGAACAATTTAGGATTCAATCTTGGATTACTAATCAGTGTTTTTAAACAAGTATCATTATTCAAACAGCCAGCTGTAGCCTTTTGAACACATATGTTGCTATAGCTAGGGTTCTAGCAGTCAAACTATAATGTCTGTTATGTCTACCATGTCTAACAATTTCACCACACCCAAATATTAATACACATTCTTTTTTTTTCTTTTCCTGCTGCTGCATAATGGCAGAAAAAGGTGAGGTTTATGTAAGCTTCCATGTATAAATGTGTGTAGATGTTATTGTGATGTTTATATTTTATCTGTCTTAGCCATCCTGTAGTGTTTTTATCCTAGACTTTATTGTAGAAAAAGTGGCATAAACACTGGTTTACAAGAAGGTTGTGATTCTCTATAAAGATGCTATATAGTTACTTATGTTGGTGTTAACGTTGTAGTGGTAGTATAGTTTACTTTAGCTTTAATTTGACTATCAAAGTTGTGAATAATATGAAACAGTGTAGTTAAACTTAATACATCTAAAACAAGCAAAGATATCTGTAACATCGTGTCTCTGTTGTTGCATTTGTGTGTAGATGAATATGTGCTTATAAATGTGTACTAATAAGATTGTAGTACAATCTCATTTGAATGTTGTATGTGCTCTCCTTTTCTAGTTTGTGGTTACTGAAATCAAAACTTTGACCAAAGAGTCTAGTCAGTGTTGGATATTATCATCTGAGGTGCATGTGGGAGATCTATGGAAACTCAGTATGGGAGGGGGAGAAAGGGGAGGGGCTGTCCATGTGAGACATGATATCATATAACCAGTGCTGCCATTCTCTCAGATGAGAAAGGTGTGCATGTATGTAGTATAGACATATTAACTTTTTTGTTTTTATACAAATGATACAGTAAGATTTGACAGGTGATATTTACCTGCAGAGATTATGAAATACGTAAAGGGTCAGATAATGCATCTCAAAGTTTTTGGTTTGTACTCTTGGATTGTCATCATCATCATCATCATTTTCATTTGTTTCCTCTCATCATTTATAGCATTGCCATTTATATTCATCAGCATCCTCAGTGCTTATACACAGTAGGTCTACTATTGATGTGGTCATTATATAACAATAATACTGGTTTTCGCCTGTCCACCTTATTAATGGATCATCTTCAGCAGTTAATTTCCACTCAGGACTGGGTTCCATATTTGTCATTGGAGGTACAGCAGAGAGACAGGGTGCATCATGGTTAAATAGATCACCTTCTGCACTCGGAGCAACTCTGAGGTGAAAAGGGAAATGCGTATCATTTTCCCATTTGCAAAATGAGACATTTGAGCTTAGATAACGAAGAGCTGTTATTTCTGCTAAACAATTTGTGTCCTTCTCTAGGGTTTCCTTAAGACGCAACAATTAATGTAGTATAGATAGTGAAAAACAGGGCAGGATTGTTCTTTTAAGAGGATTAACGTGATAATTAGATTATTAACCTAGTCCTTATCTTGAGTATATCATTATTAATGGCATTTTAATTCAGCTTTTAAATGTGGGAATTAAGCCGTAACAAGCTCTCATTATCACAACGATGGAAGTTCTGATATAATGCAGATAAGAAAGTAACCTGGTGCTTGGGAAGTGAATTGGGATAATTGACATATTTCTGTACATCTTTTGTTGTCTTTGCATTGTCTACACATTTATTTTAATTGGGCAGTTAAAAAACTATGCATGATGCTGCAGGGAACTTGTTTGTGTCGATAAAATTATATGATCTTCAGTGCTATATATGAAATTGCTAAGGACAGAACAATTTAAGTGCACACTAAGAGTTGTTAGTTTTTTTACAGCTACTTGTATGCAAGTATTAGAATTGTTGAAACATTGGCCTGCAAGCCAGTAACAAAAGTTGGAAGTAACTTTGTAGAAATGTTATCCCTAATATGTCTGAAAATAAATGTACGTGCATTTCAGAATCAACCTACTAGTAGTATGAAGATAAACAAGACATTATAAAGTATGGGTCAGTGACCAAGTGGGTCATACAAATTGGGTGTACAAAATTATTAGTAGTATTCTGATATCAATGATAATGTCATAAATTTTATTCATGCCATATTTTATGCATGCCAGAGACACTGCTGTGTATCCATGTGCTACAGTAATGATCACGATTAACGGCACAGCTGCGGAAGATTTACCACAGTTAAACCCTGTCGCAACTGCATCTCTACCGTAGCAGTATTTATGAGTGCTACTGTAGTGTCACAAAGATGATCTGCCTGGGAGGACAAGCGGAATGACAGATAGGGATTCTTAAAGATTACACGTCCAATTTAACCCAAGGTTTGCTCTTCTATAACAGTGATGTGATATGTGATATGAATGGGAACTGCTCTCTACATACACACTCCACAGAAACTATATCCCATAGTGACATCCACTTCATGTTGAGATTATAATGTTATGAAAATTTTTACCTTGACACGGAGGACTGATTCAGAAGATTTGAAGAGGTTGCATCCAAGAAATTTTTTTTTTTGTGGATAAGCTGTTAAGTGGTGTAACTGTTATCAACTTTTTGTGTCATATGTTTTCCAGTCAAAAAACACAAGTGTTAATGTTACAACTGACTTCCAAAAAATCTGTGCATACAGATGTATCTGGTAGTGGTCTGACCAAATCTTTGTACTATCAGTTAAGAAGGATGAAACAGCAATTGTTTAGTTATCATTGAGCAGAATTACAGGAAAAAGACTAATAATCAGCATTGCCTATGGGAGTAGCTTTTATGAACTTTCTTCGGTAAGTTAGAAAATTTGGCATGTGGACAGTGACATTATGAAGGCATATCTTTCTGATTGTCTGTGACTTGCGGGAGGAGGATACAAATGATAATTGACACCCTGGTTATCAGTAATGATCAGAATTAAATTAGACTCTGACTGAGCATAGTTAAGATTCCTGGTGCTGAAAGTCTGAGCAGGCCTAGACTTGTTGGTAAAGCACATGGGAAAGGAGAAACCCAGCTTAGTTTTCCAGAAAGGAGACAACCTTTGAGAACATTTAACATTATTGTGCATCTTACCTGTCACACTTTGTGGGCTAAAAATTGGACAGACAGGGTTCATGGCTGAAAGTTCTTAAATATTGGAAGAAATAGAAAGGAAAAAAGAAACAAGAAGGCAATGCCATCGATGAAATACCAGTGAAAAGAAAAGGATGAGGTAACTTACAGTGGTTCAGTGAGTTGAGCAATCAAATGAAACCTTGGTTTTGTTGAAATTGGAAAGTCTTCATGCTTTATGAGAAGCAAACAATTTTTACAATCTGTTAACTTGAGTTTTGACTAAGTTCAAGTGACAAACCTGACTTGAAGCAATTACTAACTCTTTGTTATTACCCTGCAGTCAGGAAAGGAAAAAGTCAAGTAATCATTATTAGGGTTAAAAAAAGATACAGCTGCTGAAGATTAACATAGCCAAAGTGGAAGGTGTATTACAGTAACAGTCTGAGGGTTGCATACCAATGTGGTTTTATAATAGCTCCCTTGTGTGGTTTTAACCAACATTACGGAATTATTTATCTGTCTGGCCGTGACAGCTTCAGTAAACAGGGGCTATCCCTTCAGAGGCTTCCTGTCATCTAAGCTGAGACAATTAAATGGTATGAGATAACATTACAGGTGCTCTTGGCAAAGATGTGTGCTTTTTACTAACTGGAAGGGAGAGAGGCAATGACAATAGCATTTGTTATTTGGCAGAGATAAGAAAACATGATGTAATGCTGAAAAACTCATCGGCGTAAACAACCCTGACGCTAACTAGATGGAATAAAGTGTTTAATTTGTCCAAAAAACAGACAGAGAGCCCTGATGTTATGCTGTCATCCACAATACATAAAATAGGATCATAAAAATAGGGTGAGAAAACAGGTTTTTGAAAGCCTTTGTTTTACACTGGTTCCCAGCAAGAGAAGCATTGATTCCAGTTAGAGCAGCAGCCATTTATGTGGGAGTATTGTGGAGAAAATGTTAAAAAGAATGTATGCAAGCCTGGTTAAGCCTCTGACTGCATTTTGGAATCATCACATCGCTTGAATTGGCATCTATGAAGAGAAGAATCTCATTCTAGTTGGAAGGATGTCTTGAAAAAAACACAGCTTCATAAATGATTGAATGTAGCAGTAGAAATTGACCAGATTCGTACAGAGATTGGCAAATGTGGCATCTTTGGAACATTTCTCAATTTCTCAATAAATTGTGTGGGAATTCAACAGATGAAGAAGAACAGTGGAGGAGTTATGAGTAAAACAAAAAATAACCTGATACATGTAGTTTATATCTGACACCAGGCAGGAATGACCTGAAGTTCACTTAAATAAAAACTTCTTGTGTGACTTTGTAAACTGTCACAGTAGACCAGTAAAACCAAGAGCAAAGAACGTGGGAAGTTGGGAACTTATTTCAGATGATGATGATCCGCTGTCAAAGTGAACACTCAATGAGAGGAAAGATGTTTGTTATAACTTGTCTGCAGAATGAAGGTACTAGTAACTTTTGAATGTTTTGAGAATTTTTTAGGTACATTTTAAATCTTTTTAGCTGCTGCAACTGCATCAAATACTGGCGAATTTGTCAAAGGGCAAGATAATTTGTTTTATGCAAAAGGTTCAAAAGCTTCTGCTTTGGAGTTTTGGTGAAGTTTTCTTAGATTACTGTCAGTTGTCTAAGTAAAATTGGCTGGAATTGCAATTGGTGAAGCTTTCTTCACATCAGCTCATTGGGATTTTTTGTCTGCATCTGATTATATTGCTACATTTTTTAGTTGTTAAAAAACCAAGAAAAATATCTCATAAGTTATGTGTTGGTGCCCCACAAAAATCTTTATTCCTTTTTATTACTGTTGTCACGGACATTTCCATCAGTTGGCAGATTTTTTTAAAATAGTTATTTTAGTGGCAGCCTCCGGATTGATATAAAACTCCATAGTTGCCCCAAATTTTCTGCCCCTTTGTTTCTGAATTGCTGTTAACATCCCTATTACAAGTGTAATACACATAGCTTTTATGACCAGACACCCCTGTGAATCATTTTGGAGATTGACTAGACATTAACCACTAAACGTGGAGTTACTAGGTTCTCTGGTGTTTGATACTAGCTGATTAGTGGTTGCTTCAGGTATATTACAAGTTGTAGTTAGAGGGTGGAGTGCAGGATTAGTGGATTAAAAGTAGTAATTTAAAATACCGTAGGAAATAACTTACCTTATCAGAGCTGATAATCTGAATTAATGTGTGTAAATGTAGGAGCAAATTATTTTAGAAGAATAAGGTGCGACCTTTTTTAACATGAAATATTTGCATGGAATTGTGTGTTTATTGTAATTTTTGACTGCTTAGATTAGTTTTCAGCATCCATTGTGTGGGTGCTGGTATTGCAGCTCATTTTGGTACCTTTGGTAGACTTGAAGACAAGTAAAGGTGTTTCAGATGTGAAAGAATGTGTTGTACTCAACTAACACAATTGTGATAAACTTTCTCTGAAGAAGAGTTCATCAATACAGTAACTTCATAAGACCGCACACAAAGTTATCCTGCAATGTTTTGTTGCATGTTTGACATTCCAGTCGTGCAAGGATTACTGAACTGTTGAGGGAAAAAACAATAGTAAGAGACACTTTTGACTTTATTCTCACATTAAACAATATGTTATTTGCACAATGACCCCAGTGTAGCAGTCAAAGGTCTCTGTGTAATACAGTGCTAGTTGTTTTCAGATTTTATTTTTATCCTAATTTTTCTATGGTGGTTGAAAATGATTATGTGTCCTTCTTGATTATTTTGGGCAAAAGTAGAGAGAAAGCAGTTAATTATTTTCTGCTTTGTCGAATTTTTGTTTTTTTCAGTGATGCACAAATGATAAGTACAAATGGTGTGTTTTGGAATTTTATCATATTGAATTTGGCTGTCATAATTAGGTTTAAAGGCATTAGAATTTATCATTTAGTGTATGGAGCACTAGATACCTATCATTCTACATTTATGAAAAAAAAAAACATAAATTTTTCATTTGTGATCCCTTTCCCTTAATGACTTTTCTCTATCTTTCTTTATCATTCTCTCAGTAATTATTCCCTTTCAGGTGTAAACCCATTAAAACAAAAATCATAAAATATTCAAACCTCACCTTTGGTTTAGACATTCTCCCAGGAGAAAATAGTGCCCAAGTCCTTGCAGTACTCTTGAGCTGTTCGTGTTAGCCTTGATAAAGAACATATTGATTCAGTGGTCACAGACAGGGCATACACATTTTTCACATCAATATGGTGTCTAGATGTACCTGCCCTGCAGGGCGTAACATTCTCTAACTGTGGTAACTCCACTAAATTTTTTATTATATGGATTTTTAATACTGCTGCTACTGGGCCATGATTTAGCCCCCCCCCCCCTTTCCTGCAGACTTTCTACGTTGCTTATCTGGAATTTATGGTATAATGACGTATTTTAGAATATTTTTTGAAGTCTTGGTAATTTTGGAGCTTGTTTATATATATATTAAGCTTCAAAAGATATTTATTTTTTAAAGCTGCTGTCATTTTAATAAAAGTGATATCCATATGGATATAAGGTTTGTGGGTGTTCTTGAAGTACATAGTAGACAAATGGTGTACCATTTCCATAAAAAAAATTGTTGCAAAGAAACAACTACAACTTGGAACAACAAAACTGCACTTTGCCATATGAAACCAAGTCAGCCACAGATTATAATATAGCAATTATCAGAGCATGCTAATAGTATCAGGGTTACCAGGTGACGGGAGCCTTTTTAAGGGCCATAAAACACCTGTAATGTGTAAAAGGAATGCTGTGGTCCCTTACCACAGTGTCAATTGTCAGTGGAACCTGAATTAGATGTTGAAGACTAATTTTATAGCAGGAAGAATGACCCTGTCCATCCCCCCTCCCCCATTTTATTAGTATAAGTTAAAGGAGATTCTAAAAGACCTTGTTTGAAATAGTTTTTCTTTGTTTTGTACCTATGGCAAGAGAAAATGTGTTTCTGCCTTCACTGAATATCTGTCTTAATTTATATCAGAATTTGAATGTATGTAAAATCTTACACTTTTTTAAAATTTTTACAATTAACCATGCTGGTCACCAAAACACTGGATGCAAATGAATACATATAGTTGCTTCCTGTAGATAGTGCAACTGTCACGGAGACAGCCTCCGGTGTTATTTTTAGTCCATTTATTCCTCCCATTTCTTAAGTGTCCAACCTGAGATGTTTGCTCTCTACATACGCTTGTCCTAAAATCTGATTCATTTTACATTACCAGTTTGCTAGTCTGTCTGAATATACATATGCAAACTTGTCCTTCAAAAAAGCTGACAAGTATCATGACAAGAATGCAGTAGTGAAAACATGCAAGGGCTGGTTTTTTTCTTTAAGAGAGCCATTTGTATGATTGACTCATTGCACTTTTATAGATTGTCGTTAGTTTAATTAGAGCATGCCAATCTGAAGAGCATACCAGCCATTGTACTGTCACAGTTATGATCTTTGGGAAATTTGAAATGTGGGGTTTAATAAGTCAGATTGTTGGAGATGCCATATGATGTTTGCTACTTTGTACTGAATATAACACTGAAGTGTGATATGTCATGGGAAAAAAAGTCCATAGTTGAAAAGTGCCGTGAGAAAGTGGACATTTGTTTTGGCCAGCTGGAGCCCTTTATGAGAACACTTCTAGGATTCCTCCATCAAGAAAGCAATTTGATTTATGAAATGACGGAATGAAAGATCTAAGTCAGTTATTATTTTAATAAAAGAGAGGTATTTTGATTTAAAAAAATAGTTTAAGTTTGAGAAATGAAAGAGGCCTCTGATTCAAAGAAAAGTTTAAAAGAGAAAGGTAAAATGTTTGCTTTTTTGGAGAATTTCATTTCTAGAGCAGTGAAACAAGTCTAGGGTTTAACACTATATCTTAATTTGTTTTAAAATGTACTCAAATTCTGACTCAATTGTTAAACAATGTGAATAAAAAACCCTTAACAAAGACCCTGTGTAAACACTCCAAGGCTATTAAACCATTTGACAAAAGATTCTATTTCAAAGGCGGCCACATGACTGTAACTAACAGTAACACAAGTATGGGTATTAACTCCTCAATCGTAATTCCTTCTAGCAGCCGTGTAACATCAGATTAAGCTTAAAGAGTTCATCAGGTTAGATGGGGAACAAAAAATATTGTAGAAGTCTGTTTCTGTTTGTATACCAGACTTATTTGAACATTCCTGTTTCAGAACCAAGATTAAGTTCATCCTGTCTAGTCTGTGTGAAAGAATAAAGAAATGTGTTGTTTGCATCTTTTTAATTTCTAGTAAAAAATGTTTTAAAAGAAATTGTTGTAATTTTCCAAGCTTGAAACCACTTTCATTGTTAAATTTGGAAGCAGACGGGAAAAGGGATTCGTTAATGTCTTAAATCACGGGAGACATGGCACACCCGTTTCTGTGTCAGGTGACAGCCCTCATGACAGTAGAGAAGACGGAGCCAGTTCAAGTGTCACTTTTGGTGACACTGCTGTAGCGAGGCTGTCGTTGGTGTCCCTCCTGGTGACAGCAACTTAATGTTAAACACCTGAAGATGTCCCAACCACCCTAGAAATGTTCAGTGGAATATATGCTAGACAGTTATGTAACTGCTGATGTAAAGACTTGCTATAAGAATATGTGTAAATTAAGGAAGATGTTAGGGATACAACATATTAGGAAAAAAACAGTAGATACCATTTTTGATAAAAAAATACTCTTCAGCATCAAAATGTAGTAAGCTGTGGATTGAGGAAACATTGCTACAATTTGTAGATGTTTTGTATTTTGAATATTTTCCTTAATGTAAACTGTGTGCATTTTTGTTTTAAATTTAATATCAGGCATTAATGCTTTTTTTTTTCAATAACACTTATCCTATTTCACAATGATATTTAACAATGGCTGTTCTTAAAATGCCATGTTGACTTTTCAAAACAACACTTTTTGATTTATCCACACTGTGAAATTGGATATGACAACTAGTGAGAAAACTACAGGAAAACATGGGCCAAGAATCTGAAGGAAAGGGATTTATCTTATTATAGACAATAAGATACAGATGCTATGGAGGTCGAAAGCAGCTAGTTTGAACGTGGGAAAGTTTTCTCTTCCACTTTGTTTTTCACTGAAAATTGGATTAAAATCAATTTCTGGCTCTATCGGTTCAAGATGACAGATGCAGGGATGCTACCAGCAGCAGCTGATGCATGGTCACCTCCCAGTTGTAGAGGAGAAAGCTTGTGAACAATTGTCTACAACTACTGTAATATTGTATATTTTTACCGTTCAAGATAGATAAAAGGGCTTTGATAATGCACACTTGATATCTAAATTGAAAAAGAATTATAAAGAAAAAAAAGTTTATTAATTTAATTTCAGATGATTGGAGATATACATATTGAAATGCCAGGTAAAGCCTTGAGTACAACCAAAAATCGAAACAGATT